TATAAAGGATTATTAATTCATTCACTCTCACGTTCGGTTACCATATTGTATTCAACAAGTATTACTCACCATGGCCTGTCTCAAATGTTTCAACTAAAGCCAACCATGGAATTATATTGAATTATATATAGAATATATTGAATTATATATAGAATATATTGAAACTCTTTTTAACTTTTAACGTCTCCTTCTTTTCATCAACATCTCCACTATAGCTGCTTTCAGACATGCACTCTGGAGATTCCCATGACTTACTCCGCAGAGGCTGCATGTGTGAATGCAAATGTCCGAGATAGAGTCTCGGCCTCTGGAGTTTCTGCGGACTGGCCATCTATAACAAACAGTCCGGAGAGGCCTATGTGAGAACACAACAGGAGGTGTCACCAGGAGTGAGTGGGGGTGTTGATGAGTTTCGAACGGGCAACAATTGCAAAGACGAAAAAACCCAAAAAGAAAACAAATACCTCAAAAGCAGTAGTGCCATACAAGTAGAAGACACTGATGACGATGTTAAGAGAGGTCTATGTGATAAGGAGCGATGCCTGTAAATAAAAACACATGATCTCCACAGCTGAGAGGATTTGCTGTTGTTGTGAATGCGTCTCAGCGGAGAATCTCCTGCTTGTTTTGTCAGGACCCAGAAAATGACGATGGTGAAGCATTCAAGCAGCTTTTTACTGCTTTTTGCAGTTTTTCTGTTATATAGGTCCGTTGCGTACAGTTAAAAAGTCCAAAGTCTGCAGTAAATAAAAAACACTGCTCCTGAAACAACCTGTCAGTAGTTTGGCCAATACTTCCAGATCATCATAATTTGCATATTGTGCATCCAGTTGCTAGTCTGACACGCCCCCTTACAAACCCAGGTACAGCAGGGGCAGAGGACATACCTGCATGGAAAGCAGCTGACCAATTACAACAGAGTGGGCCAGTCGGTCAATCAGGGCAAATTGGTAAAGAATCTAGTCAGAAATCATCACAGTTACAAAGGTTTGTGTTTTTGTATTATCCTCTATAATTTTCTAAAAGAGTTTTTTTTTCCGAAACATGAATCCGGCTCCTCCTCATGTTGCCCACTCAGATCAATACTCCACACCACAACAAATAGCTCAATCACTCAGGTTTTAGAGGAAATACCAAAGTGAATTGTGAACTCTCTGCCTGGGCAGTGAGGAGGGGAATAGATCCTGCGCTGGTGCTTTGTTGTGAATAAGAAAGCGAGAAAGACGGGGGAATGAAGAGATAGAAGCAAATGTTGCTGTCCCTGGACTTTTTAATTAACTCACCTCAGGCTGCAGCGGAGCCTATTTATCACTGCATTGTGTTGATTTACTTCAGCTGTCGATGGTGTTTGTGATCACACACATAAAGCAACCACACCGCTCCGAGCAGAAACTAAAGACAATAAGCATCAGTTGCACAAAGGTCCTCTGACCAGACCCTGCAGGTGTACTCATGAGGTCTTGACCCCATGCTATGCAACGGGGCTTCATGCGAGCTGGCACGCATTTTACCGAACATCCTTAAAATGCTTACAGTGGTGCAGGAAAACACCCGCAGACAAATTAAAGCCATATGTGGTGGAAGGGAAGAGGGAGGCATTGAGGCATTGATAGGAAGTGTATATGAGCGGCGCTCTCCCTTTCTTTCTCAGGGGAGGTACGTGAGCCAGTCTACCATAGCTAAACTGCAGAGAAGCACAATGCTGCAGAGATTAACTCCAGCCCATATCTTCAGATCTCCTGCACGGTTGCAAGACACACAGAGGCTGTAAGAGAAGGATTACAGCAGGAGGGTAACAGAGAGGACAGACAAGAGCAGGGAGAAGAAAAATGGAACAACTTATATCTGGATAGCATCTTACCTTTTATATGATATTAAAGTGAAAACCATTGTGCCTAAAAGATCCTGTATTTCTGTAAAATTGTAAGAGCTAATGAATGAATGAATGGGTTTGTCAGGAGGAAAATGAAAGGATGAATTCAGAGATAAAATGTAAAGAGGGCTTAAATAAACTTCAAAAGGGGATTAGCCACAATGGGAAGTATCTGAATTTAAAAAAAAACTATGACTGGATTTGGATATTTAAACTTTTGTAATATGATGATTAGAAAACAACAAATGAGAATGGAGGATACTGGGCTGTGGATAAAAATCTGCTGCTCATCAAAAGGTACATTTCCATTTCCAGTTTTATTTTCACCATTGTGAAATATCCACCACTCCATCAAACATTTTCAGACTAAAGCTGTCAGGATGCTTCAAAGTGTCAGATGGTCCAACAGCATCTGAAATTGAAGTAAAGTTTTTTGTAACTTTGTGAAGTTGACGGTCTGACGGGGTAAACCACCTCATCTAATGCCTGACATCACTACTTCCTATTTCTTGCATGTACTATGAAAAGCCATGACTGGATGAAGGTGAGACTCCCTGAACGTTTGCATTGAGTTTGCTTTATTATTCCCTTATGAGCACCTTCTGTTCCAACCATCTATTTTCTACTGTTCTTCTCCAAGTAACCTGACCTCCATGTCCCTGATGTACCTATACCTACCTACATGAAAACTGCAAGGCTAGAACTGGTTGAGTCAGATGACCGCCCACAATCAGCCTCTTTCTGTTGGAGGCAGTGTGCCAGAATTGTGCAAAAAGTAAACCATAACAATGCCCAATTTTTTTTGTGCTCTTTGGGTCATATTTAGTATTTAGAATATGGGCTTTTGGTTTACACCTTGCTTAGATCACCTCACGTTTACCAAAAAAGGCCCACTGTTTATTACTGTTGATATTTGGGACACACTTGCAATTTTACAAGTGAGCCACTTTAGGCTTACATTCATTTTCTGAACATAGGCCAGCAATAACACTGTCACTGAACATGAGTTGTATAACAGTTAAATAGTAAATGACTGTAATTTCTAGGAGACAGGATTGGTTATAAATACCTGTGTCTTTAGACAAAGTCTAACAATATTTTATATGAACTCATTTGTTTAAAGAACACTCCTCCAGCATTAGCTTAATATGCAGGCTGGGGAATCCTGTCAGACAAACTTTGACATTGATGAGTATCATTAAAACACTACTTCCCAATATAATCCAAATCATTTATGTGCTTCTGTCTTTTCTCATCTGTAAATTGTGCTGTATATGTTTTTCATATAAATGGTTAGAAAAACCTTTTCCTCTCAATCAATATCTATTATTGTAGATGGTAGATACAGAGTTGATAGTAACATAGCGTGCATGAGTCAGCCAGAGCAAACCTCAGTCTGCAACTTCAAGTCAGGATAGCTGTTACTATAATTTCTTCCTGACATTTAATTCAGCTGTTTGTGTTTCCTGTGCACATATAATGTACTTTAATTATTTGTAAGAAATGAAATGATGATAATAAATCGCCTAATGCTCAAAGAGATGGTATGGAAGAACATTTGACTGTGCGGCGTGATCTTGGTATTTTTTTCTTTTATTCATCTTGTTTGTTTTTAGTCTCTCCTTCCAGACAGATGTCCACAGAGGACTGATCACTCACAGAGACAGTGACCTTCACAGGGAATCTCTGTGGTTTAAAAAAACGATCAGTTCTGTTGTGTGTGGCTTACATCCACAAGTGAGTCTTTACACACCTCCTGTATGCATGCAGTGTGTGAGCAAGTTGGTAAAATGAGTCATTCTTTCTATTTTCTCGCTCCTGTCTCCCACTGAGAGATCACTGAGAGTCACAAAACAGGTGAATAATAGAATAAACTATACTGCTCCCAATTATAAATACGATCAGAAACCATGCAAACATAATGTGAGAAGAAAAGACAATTAACATCAACACGCTGTATTTGGGTGTTTAGATGATGAGAAACTAGCCAGAGCCACGCAGCTATTTTTGATATTAGTGAGAGAAATAATGAAGCCAAATCCCACACAACACACTCCAACATACAGACACAACTTTTCTCTGGGTTGGGAGAGTTCCATTAACACACCTCCTACTCATGTATCCAAATACCTCGTGCTCGCTGCTCCTATAGCAATGAGATTACAGCGGAAGGTGTCACCCACCACTGCTCCCCATGCACAGCCCTGCATTTTATAAACAGCACAGGTCATTAGCAGGTTGTCAGCAGGGGCACAAATTTCATTAACGCCCCAAAATGTTTTTATAAGTCATACATGTTTCACTCCTGCCTGTCTGCATCAGTCAGGATCCATTTCAATCAGTTTGAGCTGAATAAGTTGCTCCTCAAGACAGTGCCATGTGAATTTCAAATGTCAGACTGCTCCTTTACAAAGTCAGGATCTTTACTGTCACTACTACATCAGATATTCAGGATCTGTGTGACAATCGCACTATATATACCATCTATTATATACAATCTAAACCTCGCTTGCACTCGTGTGACACAGTAAAGCACTTTGAGCTTACACTCAGTAAATCAAATATACAAACTCTAACTACACTGTAATCCAAGTAGGTGGGTGTTTGGTGCTTTCTTAAAAGTGCTCCAATATAGAATTACACTTTTGTGACACTGTCGGGCCACAGGATGGACATTGTAAAAGAAAACGCATCAAGGTCAATGTGGCAGAACCAAAAATATTTTAAAACAATTATACATTTCTACAGCGATGTCAACCTGGCAGTTATATTACCCACAATGCAACATTATCCCCAAACAGGTATGCCGGAGATAAGACTGTGTTATGTTAGTGTTCTTTCAAACATTGACGGATTTTTTGGGCTTCACATTTGACCACATCCAACATTGTGTATGCTCCAACATTACTGCAGCGAAGCTTAAACAAATATAAGATTATAAAGGGTTGTTGATTTGCTCTTGAGTCTCATCTCTTTATCTTATGGTCATATATGTTGTTCTCTGGGTAAGAACTGGGTCCTGACAGGTAAGACAAAGCAGTGTTTGTAATGTTCTATTAGAGGAAGAATACAAACAATTTGGCAAAGTGTGGATTCTTAATAACTAAACTGCATTGCAGATCCTTACCAAGCCATCCGGCACCAGAGTTGGGGACACACATGTCTGTCTCAGCACTAGGCAGGACGAAGCCCACTACGAACACCTCCACGCCGTCTGACATTAGCGCCAGCCCGAGTACGAAGAACAGCTGCCACTGGAATCTCCCATGGCCACACTCCTGCATGATTAGCTCGTACTGTTGGGCCAGCTCCTCCTCATCTGCCTGTCTCTCGTTTTCCAGCTCCTTACGGCTCTTTTGGCTGTCGGAAACCGGCTGGCCGAGAGCCACCTGACCCTCCCGTGGCTTGCCATTATTGTAGGCGGGCACACCTTGGTACTCCCCCTCATAGATCTCATCTTCATCGTCGTGTCCCTCCGTGGCATCACTAGAGGCTCCGTCCTCATCATTGGCTGCATTGTCAGCATATTGACCGTCTTGCTGAGTGTAAGTATTGTAGTTGTTCTCTTCTTCATCCTCGTTCTGGAAACGATTGTAGCTGCGATGGGCTGAATATTCATCCGAGGCACGATCGACAGCTTTGCTGAAATTTTTGGCAGCATGCCTCTTGGTTTCTTTAGCGATGTCCTTGGCACCTTTGACCAAGGAAGTCCTGTTGTTGTGCGTTTCATCCATCTTGGCACGGGGATGGCTGGCACTAAAATCTCTTAATTCAACTCTAATGAGCTTTTACTCCAACAAGTGTCAGTTACTGTTTTTTATCTTTCTTCTGGTCTTCTATCCCCAGACAGAGAAGGACTTAGGGCAGTTTAATAGATCTGCCAGGATACTAATGATTAAGTAATGATGTCTGATTCCATTGGGTGGGGGTAGCCAGACAGTGCTGAAATGGAGACAGTTGAGCTCAAATGGGGAGAGATGCTCAGTCCTGTCAGAGCTCAGTAGAGGAGAGCATCAGCCTGTGGGGACAGAAAGAGAAAAGCACATTTAGCTTGATTAAAGGCGTCTGTCACACATACTTGACGGCAGTGTTTCCTGGCACCGAGAAGAACTTCAAAAAGAGCATTTCAACACAGAGAGAGACGAAGTTCACACTGAAGATGACACAAACTGCAGTTGATTGATGAACTGAAATGCATGGCTATGAGAGGAATAACAAAAGAAAAAGATGAATTGATATGTTATCATACTTCATTATTGTATTATGAAAAGTAAATCTGTACCCTGCGAGAACGATACATCTGCGTAATACCATCATACTGGCAACAAAAGCCGAGATTGACAAGCTTGACAAATCTTAGATATATGTGAGATGGATAGCAGCTAGATGCACATAATACATTTCAAGTCTTGTTGTTTTTTGGTGTAGAGATAAATCTCCTTGAACTTCAGTGAAAAGCTGGATAAGGCACCATTTGTGAACAAAGCAATTACACTTGCAGTTTGGCTGAACTACGTGTGCCCAGTCTTGGTTTGAATTATATAGAGGGACATCTGTGAACAAGCCAATCAATAACCCAACTGGAACAAAAATTTGGAAAAGTACAAAAGATGTGATGGATTGCAAAAGTGGTTGGGGGGTTATAGTGACAAGTGTGTTAGCTGGAAGCCAAGTTCCATTAAACTGCAACTGATGACTTTGAAGTATTTTGCTGGAGTCCCTCCAGTACTATGTCTCTCAGAACACTGAGCTTCTCTGGCGAACTGTACTCACACTCCACTCTATTATTTGCAATAATTATTGTTATTACAATCATTATTATACAATTGCGTGTAGACATAATTCAGTTAGTGCATCATTAATGTACAGGGCCACACAGGAGACTAAACAGCTTCACTGATGACCTTGTAGGGCCTGAAACATCTCTGCTGTGCAGAAAAAAACATGGTGATCCCCACCCCCCCTCCACCATCCTCCACAACACTGCTTTGGACTCCATCTTCTCTGACTGCACTGCCTTGCAAAAGGTGATCCAGAAAAGGCTAAAATAACACGCCCGTTGCTCCACATCTGCAGGATTTGGATTGGTTTGCAAGTGTTTGCTGATGAATTGATGATGATCTCGATGTAGAGTTCATACCTTCTTTCCATCTGCCATAAAAGCGATGTGACATAGATGAGAAATAATACATTCTTGGAAATTTGGCCGGCCATGTTTTCTGTCAGAGCCTGTCATAGCTCTGCTTCATGTTTCTAGCCTCAGAATACATGTCAGCCTGTATGACTGACTCCCCTTGGGGCTCTCTAGACTGTGACACTGGCGTGGTGTCTCAGAAGAACTGTCAACACGTCAGGCTCGAGTCTGTCTGCCACACTGCGACCGGCAGCCACCAGGCCTGTGCACTGCAGGGGCAACACCAGTGAGCTTTGGGCCCTCACATTACAAAGCCCTTCAGCAACACTGTTATTGACGGACCAATTACAAAGGTCAAACTGATCTATACAGCACATGCAAACCACATGTGAAGTACCATTTCCATGGCTTGTCATTTGAGGGGGAAGCATTGAGCTAATTCACTTTGCTTTTTTTTGGGCTTAATAGCATGCATTCATTTTATCTAATATTAATTAGTATAATATTAATTTAAAATTAATTGTAATAAATTGTTTATGAGATGATGTTGTAGTAACAATGCTCTACAAATGCTATATTATGTATAAAAAATAAATGCATCTTGTTAAATTCAGCGTTGATCTCAACAGCAGTGATTGGCATCTGCTAGCGAAAAAAAAAAACACTGCAAGACAACCTGAAGCAGCTGAACTGATTCATACACAGAGTACTCAGCATAGTTCTCTGTGGTTTCAATGAACCAACACTGAAAAAAATCTGTAAACTGGCCTTGAAATATAAGAATTCCAATAACACCCATTATGTATCTTCGTGTCAAGATTGTGAGTTGATACACAGACTGTCGCTGTCTCTCTACAAGTAAATTAAAAGACCATTTCACATTTTATCATCAGGTTCAACATGCTAACATGCTCTTTTTGTATCTGCAGTGTCAGGAGTGGAAAGCCTGCACTGAGGTGTTGAGACTGGGTTAGTGCCCAAATAGAGCGTGGCAGGTTGATGTATGGTGTTTCTGCTCACCTTTGCTCTGCGAGATAAGATAAAACATGAGCTGGGATCTGTCATTTGAACATTAGAGCCCGCGGCTCCACAGCGACGTAAAGCAGCCCACGAGATTTTTTTGGTGCAATGCAGCAATGAAGTGAAGTAGGAAATGTGTTCTAACTAACTTTGTGCTCGGCGGACAGATGATGGGACAGTAACTCCCTCTGGCTGAGGATCCGTCAAAGCGGCAGGCTGAACAGCGAAATCTCACCATCCTGTGGCTTCAGGACAAAAAGTCACGTTTCTGCAGCTACTGGGGTTTTGACACTACAACAGGTTCTACGATAAAGCTTTGACAGTTGCAAATGTTTTAAAGGTAAGTATTAGTTAAATTGTGCTGCTTGAGAGTTTCGATGTGTTAAAATGTATTTCACTTACATAACCCATTAGCTGTTCTTAAAATTTAAACAACTGAACTGAAACTGCCAGCAGTGCTTGATATATGAGGAGCGTATATATACAACACAAAGAGAATATCATTCATCAAAATGACTTTGGGGGATATGCTTTCTTTTTCTTTCTTGCCAAGAGTGAAATGAGAAGATCGATACCACTCTCATACCTGCACATTATGTATGGAGTCAGAGCTGGAAGAAAATTAACTTAGCTTCATTATTTGAAGGGGGGGTTAAAAGTAGTTAGACTTAAACTAACTCCCAACAGGACTATAAAGTTTTTTAATTCGTGTGAAACAAGATAACTTTGGAGTGAGCCTGGTGAGTTGTTTCCCCTCGCTTCTAATCTTTATGCTAAGCTCCGCGAATTGAACACTCACACTCACAGCATCCAAATCCAAGTGACACTGTCTTATTTCCAAAGATGTTATATTTAAAGGCAGGATTGGTCCTTTGTTTCTGAAACACTTTTTTATCTGTTGGAATCCTCTTCACGTCCATAGCCATCAAAAAACAACACTCTCTAAAAAGTTGGTGTCTCTATCCCTCACAGGAGTGACTAATAATAACTACCAATCATTTCTATCATGTAACTTTGTCTAACTTTTTCAGGATTTCCAAACTTGGCTTTAATAAATTGCTGAAAACTGTTTTTCTATCGATGACTTCTACTCCTCTTTGCAAATTTCCACAAACTCCTTTCCAGCAAAGCAGCTCCTCCAGCTTTACTTCAGCAACTAAAGGTCAAACTCTGTGATAGAACTCATGATATGCTCTGAGAGTTTCTGCACCATATGGCCACAAATAAAACAGACCAATGAACTGACTGCTCTTCAACACTTTTGATGATGGAGGGAAAATGAGTGCACAACAGAGAGCCAGGTCTGTGCCTAATCCCTGGTCTTAATTCACCTCCTATACGTGCCGATGCATAGTTTCCCCTCTTTCTACGACTGTCAGCGTCTCTTCACTTCTACCTTCTGTGTTTCTTTATGCACACTCTCTTTCTCCACCCCCTCCTCTCTCTCAGCCGAGTGCCGCAAGAATTTCAAAGTCTTCGCCTCCATGGCAAAGCAGAACATGAAAGATATCCCTCTTCTGTTGACATTTCATTATTCATGATGGGATAACCGGTCTCCTCCTTATGCAAATGGTCATTAATACTGACATTTAGAAGTCTTTCACTGCAGTTTGAGCTGCAGAGATAATTCTTTCAAGTCTAATCCAAATGTCCAGTCCTTTTTTTGAAGCTACCCATATGGCGTTTTCACACACCATATACTGCTGATGTAGGCAATCGCATATATATACAAGAAGTCACTGCATTTCAACCACCAGCTTTGGCCTTTCCCCCCCGTACACAGGGAGGCTAATATCATTTATGGACTTTTTTATTTCCTTTGTGATGGCGACTCCCCTTGCCCTCTGCTGTGATGCTGTGATTGGGGTTATTATAACAGCACCCTTATGATGTGGTTTTAGCAATCAGCAAAATTCCTACCAGCTCTGAATCAGCAGTCCACGGAGAGGGAAGAAATGATTTCCTTGCAGTCGTGCTGTCATGGCTCGCTGACACCATCCAGCTACGTTCATTAATCACTCACATATATACGCACGCACACACAGACACATGAATACACTCTGCAGGTGCATACTCATTGAATATAGTGTGCAGGGGGAAATAGAGAAAATGTCTGCAGGTCATTGTTCTCTCACAAAACTTAGTCAGAACAAAATTGAGACAAACTGTGCATTTGAGAGAGGGAAAAGCGAAATGAACAATGCGGAACATGCAAGTCGGACAAGATCCTCAATCAGCATGCGACATACTGGTTGACAATATGTGAATGCAAGTGGTGAGTGCAGAGCCCTACAGGCTTCCTGCGGTGGCCACAGATGGCTGCAGTGAGCATTTGTGAATGCACATTGTGTGAATAAAACTACACGCTAAGATCTGCTGATAAGTGAGTTTAGGTCGTGACAGAAATAAAGCAGCATTTCCCGTACAGAGATGCAGCTAGGTATGCAATTTTCTCTTTCGACTTTTGACTTCATTTATTTAAATGTGGCCACAAATGGAGCATTGTTCATCAAAAAACTGAACCTGGCCCAATTTTTGTTGGCGCACTATGCAGACGTCACTAACCAAAGCATTGTGTTCACTGTTCTGATGTAATGAAGTGCACAGTCCTGGCAGTTTACCTTTATTTCTACTGTGCAGCTCATGATTGTCGCAGTGAATGTTAAGATAATGATCTCCCAGATCTGTTACTCAAACTGGACTTCCTGGATCACTGGCGCCTGAACATACAAAATTCACCTGCAGAGAGCTGCTGCACTGACTACATGTAACTGCAGTGTTATGCATTGGTTAAAATATTGCAAATGAGTAAAGGACATTTTAAATAGAGACCATTTCACAACAATGTTGCCACTGTAATGTAATATACATCAGATACAGTAAACCTTTGAAATCATGAGTAAAACTTGAGGTTGAAACCACTGCTGGAAAATGGTGTACTGTAGGTGAAGGTGACAGTATTATCCCTGTACCTCTGGCATAGTGCCGGGTACTTGCAGCCGGATCCACACATTTCCAAAAAAAGGTTTTGGAGCAAATGCCAAAAGGTTGCCACCTGCATGGCTCTAAAAGTTGGAACCCTTGCCATCAGGGACTGTGAGAGGTGCTACAAGAAATTCTTCACCATTTTGAGCTAATTTCCAAATTGTTCAATGCAACATGTATTTACTTTAAAAGTAAATGTATACAAAGCAAACAAAGTAGCTGCAATCTATCAACCAGGATTTCTTACCAATGGAAATCAAAATATGTTTTCTGTCTTGTTTTGTCAGTTTACAACATATTGGTGCATTACAGCGGCCGACTGGTGTTGAGTGTGGATTATGTAACATCCAGTTCTCAAAGGTCACAGATGGGGATTTTAGGGGCAACCGTACTTTCCAGAAAAGCTTGATTGATCAGATTTTCCAAACATGAAAATACTTTTTAAAGGTGCTGGAACCATGTGCTCTGCTTTCGGAAAGGGAGAAACCGGCTGATGAACAGGCACTTTGAACACGCAGCCTCAAGGGGATGTCGCAGTTGCATGAATGTTGCATGAATGGGAAGCAGTGGGGAGGAGATTTAGATTTAAAGTAACAAGCATTATTATTAACTACATTATACAACAGTATAGTACCTTAGTACTACTGCACAAGCTCTACAAAGCACTGAATTCATAACTTCACACAAACTTACACACACACACACAGCTGCCTGATTGCTTGTGTATAATGATGGCTGTCATGGTTTACTGACTGCTGGAGCTTAGCCAGCTCCTGTGGGGGTCCCTCTGTGGAAGCCCAAATCAGGATTTGATAGAAACTTCGCTATGGAGGCAGTTAGCTTAGGTTAGCAGAAAGACTAGAAAACAGGGATAATAGCAGGCTAATACGCTCTGCACCTCTGGAGGAAGTCTGCATCCTGACTCTCTGCCCTGACCCTCATCATGACATGCAGACCCATTCAAGCCAAACCCTCCTTTGTGTTGCGATTAGTTTTCTATCAAATGGATGAAGCTGAGATAACACGCAATATGGTAACAGCAGAGGGAAAGCAAACACTGATATACCTGCATAAGGCAAACATTAATCTACTGACTGTGTTTGACAAGTGCCTATTCAAACTGCACATTTATCCAGTCACAGGACAGCCCTGGAGCAAACCACCTGCCTGCTCACGGTTTCTACACGTTTGATCCAATCAAACTCCCCATTCAGCCTCCTGGGAAACCTCTATGCAAAACTCATCTGTCACTTCTCCTCCTCTTTTGTTCCACCCGCACCGTGCACCATGAGGCTCCACAGGCTGCACGAGCACGGCCCACACACCACATCCAGGAAGGAACATCAATCACCGCGCACTGTGTTGACGCAAGTCGCGTCCCATAATTAGATTTCGGGGCTGTCCCGCCCGGGAATCAATCCTGCGCCATGTGCAGTTATAGACGACTGTCCGCGCACCGCATCGAGATACGGTGACCATACTGAGTAATGGAGGTGCTCCCTCTCTGCTCAGCTCCACTGCAGATTCAGTCTGGATGCATGTGCGCGGGAAAGCTCGGGGTTGCCTGCGTACGTGCGTGCGTGCGTGCGTGCGCGCGTGCGTTCGTGCGTGTGTGCCTGCATGCGTGTGTGTGCGCACTAACTCATCTTTGCACCGACCATTGATCACGACGGGATGGTTCAACATCCCCGCAGCCTCAGCACCATCACACACGGGAGAGATGAAAAGTAGCAGCTTGACTGCAAACATGTGCACACACTCCTTCAATCTGCTCTGAATTGTGGAAACTTCGTCAAATGGACAAATTAACAGATGCACAGAACTGATTAAACAGATGCAGAAACACATTCTGATCCAATAGGTTGCATTGGTGTGCATTTGCCATTCTGGGCACATCCAAGCGATGCTGCACAACTTATAAAGTTCCTCAACTTTTCTGTCAATCATGCGCACAGGGGCTTTATTCTATGTTAAATGAGCATTTTGTGCATCTGGGATCTCCTGTTTCCGTTCTGCATCATGTCAATATTACTGTGGTCCAAACAGGTGGAGAGTGATGCGATCTGAGTGCGGAGGAAGATGAAGTTACAGTTTGGCACATAAAGTGTTATACAGAGATGAAGAGAGAAAATGAAATACTCACAGTCTGTAGGAGAGGAGCAGATCCGTCATGCTGAGCTCGGTGAGTCTGAAGGCTCCTTCCCCCGGTGTCCTCCTCTACACAGCGGCAGAAGCAGCGGACATCGCGCCAAGGTTCCTTCTTGTCCCTTGTCTTCTTGTCGATGCAGCGGTTCTCTCTGTCTGCTGCAGTCCGGGGAAGACGAGGCGAGAGGCGGGGAGGCTGAGGGGGAGGTGGGAAGCGTGAGCGTGTGCCGTGGGATGGAGAGGGGTGGGTGGGGGTGCAGGGGAGGGAGCTGGAGTATCACGGGCAGACTGAAATCAGAGAGTGCAGGCCTGGATCCCGCGCGGACAGTATGGTGAGTGTGCGCTGTGATGGTGCAACATGCATGTGGGGAAGGCTCAGCGATGCAGGAGGAGAACAAAGAGGAGCTGAGATGTGGCTCCTGCAGGGACCAAGTTTACTGAGGGATGACGGACTGATGCTGGATCTGCAACGTCAATGCAAAAACCACTGGAGGACTGATACACAGCCAAAACACAGAGTTCAATTTCATCCAATCCAATCATCCAGGCTGGAGGTATTTTATATATCATACATAATCTTAATCCATCACCAACTGGATGATGATCAAAATGTATGGTTTAAAATATCTTATTCATTAACAAGAATATACTAACTTAATTACTCTATCTATCTATCTATCTATCTATCTATCTAGATATCTATCTATCCGTCCACCCATCCCTCCATCTATCCATCTAACCTTCCACCAACCCCCTCTCTCTTCTCTATCCACCTCTCTTTTCTCATGCTCATCAACCCATTGAGGCAGATGGCCGCCCACAGTGAGTCTGGTTTTGAATTGTCCTGTTAAAAGTAAGAGCTACAGTTGTCAAAGTTTTTGCTCATTAACTGTTGGGTTTCAACCTCACTGTGTAAAGTGCATGTTGCGATTTGCTGCTATACAAATCGATTTGAATTGAAATTGATTTGAATCAACCATTTCACTATCAATTAATGAGGCAGTATCTTTTGACTTTCTAGGGTTGTTGGCTATTTTATAAAGGGTGCCAGTCAAAAGTTAGAGGCTAGAAGAATTCATTGCGGAGGTCTGGGCACAGAGAATATGAGCAGTCACCCAAAAAAGTCATCCTACTCTGCATGGCTACAAAAAGGGCCATGAACCCCCGTGAATGTGCCCTCGTCTCCTCTGCTCTCAGAAATAACCATCACGGGAAAGATTTCGAGGAGCGAGGAAGGAAGCCTGGAAGGACGTCCCTCTCATTCATTCAATATAAATACAGCCACATTTGCATTTCCATCCAGCAGCTGTGGTTTAATGTGAGGGTTGAAATGAATAAAACCAAACACAAACACAACACAGGACACATGATGATTATGATTTCCCTTTGTCTGTTATCTTCTCTTTTTCTTCCTTTCCCCTCTCATGAAGCTTCACTCACAGACTTTGATCATGTGCTCATGCACAGAATGGAAGTAGGTGGCTGGGTGAACACAGGAGGTAATACAGGAGAGACACAAAGGGAGGGACAGAATAATAGTGAATAATGGTTATCAGGGTTCTGCCTCCAACTAGTTAGCCCATCTATCAGGCCTGGATGTTTTATTTGAATTATTTAAAGGGGAACACCAGCAATTCTACACATAAACATCACCATATAAGGAAAACCACATCCAGCTGTAGGAACAGTTTTATAATGTATTTACAGGGCTATTTTGTGTTGGACGTAGACTCTTGGTCTGAAAAGTAAAGCCAATGTGGTAGTTTGTGAAACCTGTGTGCTCTCAAATGAACAACAGAGGGCAACTTCACGGGTTGCAACAAGAAGACAGTGTATAAAGAAGTCTGTGAGAAAATAACCAAGCTCCTTACTTGATTAATAACGACGATACATATTCTCCTGATGAGTTTATGGTCTCAATCTCTAGTTTCTTCAATACAGCATGATGTTCATTCTGTAAATTATAGTTCCATTTAGATTAAAAAAGGCGACACTGTATGCATTGGGGCCTTAATGCGGTGTGATTGACAGCTAGCCAGATTGCTGGTGTAGGTGGACTTGGAGTGTGCATAATCTAAGTGAGGCTCCACCCCCCCCCCACTCCACATATGGCTACTATGGTGCTGGCAATTCCCAAACCAATGGGTGATGTCATGGTGGTGCCACCTGGGTAAGGCTTGAGATGTAAGTTTCTTTTAAACAGAAAGTTAAATGCCAAAGGTTTTAAAAGTGGTGGTGATGGCAAATAAGTTAGTTTGGGTGAGGAAACTGCTGGTTAAGTTTCGGGTGAATATCATGGCTATAGTTCATAAAAAAGAAGAGTATTGCCTGTTGTGAGAAACTATCCTGCATGAAAGTCAACCATCAGTCTACAATCTCTTCCATTTCTCTTTGCTTCAGTAGGGTCACATTAGTTCCTGTATTTTCCGAAGATTGGTATTGGAAATGCAGTGCACTGTGTAAAGAGCCACATTTCACATTAACAATTTGAAATGTGGCTTACACACAATTTGAAAATGATTGTGGTGTTGAAAGTCACATCTTCCATACAGCAAAATGTGATAAAACAGACCCCACTGGTTTCATTGAGGATGTTATTCTGAGGGATAATAGGCTGGTAAAGAAACATGCTATTATCTTACAACTGAAATTGTAGGATCTAACATCTTTGGTCTTTTGGCCGTCTCCACTACTAACAGACAAATGTCATGTTTTGCAACTGCACAGTACACACACTACACAGTATCAACTTGTCCTACAGTCCTTTTGATGCAATGATAGTCTGGCTCTATGAAACTATCTGCTTCAAAGATAAACTAATGGCACTCAGTAGAGTTCATAGCTTCCCCAAGGCCCATGAGTTGCACACACAAGATATCAAGTCCCTTACTGGGTCTTATCTTTGTCAAGATCCATGAATAGTTTGCTGGGAAATGAGTGAAGATGTCAATAAAAAATTAAATGGATTCTTCTCTGACCCATAACACATCCTTCCACCAAGTTACATCTGTCCAGTGGATTTTCTGTTTACAAACCAACAAACAAACAGAAAAGAGCCTCCTGGTAATTATGTGTGTGTCTGTGTGGCAAATGACTCACACAAGCAACTACACAAACAGTTCCATTTTAAAAATTACAACAAACATACTCAGTGCCACTTGAAACGCTCATTTTGATACTGTAGACACCGATATATGCACATAACAGTCTTCATATCCAGCTCACTACTCATGTATGAACTTGACATTTTTGCTCTCTTTTCAAACACTCTCTATTCCAGCCTTTGGGGAGAACTTAGATAATATACTGCAAAATTGTTTTGAGCAATTTAGTTGGATGTGTGATATGGAGTTTAATTGATTTCTAATTATATGCCCTGGTGAGCCCATAATTTCATGCGTAAAAAACAAAGGGGGTTGTTAGCAAGGTCTGCTTTAGAATGCATCAGGATGCATTACTTTGTTTTCTCTGTAATTACACACTCCACTCATCTTCCTGCTCATACTTTGCATGCCAACACACACACACATAATCAAACACGCATACATGCACATCTTTGAAAAAAATAATTTGAGACGTATAGGTAATTACGTAGTTTTACCATAACTTCCAAACCACTGAGTAAGTAGTATAGAACATGACTGACTAATTCATGTTGATTAATGGGCAAACTCCAAGAATTCACATCACTAAACTTTAATAAAATCAATTGTGCAATGCCCATTGCCTGTTTACTTGTCCTGTGTTAATGATCCACATTACCTCTGAATTACTATAATATACTGTCACTTTTTATTGTTTGTGTTCTGGATGTTGTGTGCAGAGCTTTTTAAAAACAGTCTATGGTGCAGAGTGACGTTAGAAATGTTTTTGTTCATCCTAACTGGTTCATCTGCAGGGAAGATTTTATCATCAATGTTTTTCATACAGTGAAATTGAATTTGCTTTGTTGCTGTTGATGTGTGTGGTTTATATATGCATTTAAATGATTCACATAACTGCCGTTATTCTTTTATACTTTACAAGTCAACTATTTCCGAGGTCTGTTACGCAAACACAATTCACAGCTTTTCAAAATAGAAGCTCTGTAATTCAGCTTGATATTAAGCATTGCAACCAAATGAACGCTGTGCTTTCACTTAGTCGAGAAGTTGCCAAACAGGAAGTGATTCTATGAATGTGCTTGCCACAACTGAGATCAGCATCCTCACACCCCTGAATGTATATGCCAGTCTGACATGGTGAATAATGTTGCATTATCAAAATGATCCGACCCGCAGTTTGATCTAGTTGCTGACCACTGCTGTAGTTTATCAGTGGCGGTAGAAGAAGACATGTTTAACTCACTCCACAGATTGAAGGCACACTGCCACACCCCACTGACAGCTACTAAACACCAGTCACCTGTATGACTGAATTTTATTAATCCAAATCTCACTAATTTATGGACATGCGCCGAATAGATGAAAATTTTGAGATATAAGCGTTCCACATACAGACAGATGGAAAGACGGACACATTTGTGGAATTAATTGGTAGATTCTGATTTGTCTCTAGGGTTTAGACCTGTAGGTTCAGTCAATAACTTTATAGCAGCCTCTTCTCTGCACAGCCTCTGTTTCCACCCTCATGAAGCTACATGGAGGAGCTTGTGAGGGTGGAGATGCCGTTGAGTGCTGTGTTAAGTAACAAGACAAATGGCCTCTGGAATAGACTGGCAGGTTAAAGCAAGGTTAATTACATTTCTTAACACACAGAGGTGAGGGGTTGCAGGGGAAGAGGAGGAAGAGGCTGCAGGGGGATGAGAGGAGGGGAAATCAGTCCTGGGGGATCAGCAGTTAAGATGCAAAATTATTACCATTTATAAGTGTATTATCAATGTTGGTAGAGACCACCAGGATTTATTCTAGGAGTGAATGGAAATATGCAGCCTCTTGCAAAAAAAAAATCATTCCTCTGTGGCTCTATGGAAATGTGTGTGTCTTTGGTTTTCAGTCACATCACAGTGATCCCATTGTCATTTCTGATTATTACTCTATAAAATGATAGCTACTGTTCAGTTTGGTGTCTGCACCACTGTATTGAATGCCGTCAATGGTCACACCCGGGCTGCGCTGACCATAATGGAGGATAAACAAAATACAGTCAATGAGCCACTGGAAAGTATATTTTTATACCTGTTCCCTTTCTCTAACCTTAGGAAGTTCCATGACAA